CGCTCCTCCTCATACTTCAGCCTCCACATGAAAGTTCAAAGACGGTCAAGGAGCTCCAGGATTGGCCAGCCCAGTCACCAGACAATGAGCATCATTGAGCATGTCTGGGGTAAGATGGAGGACGCATTAAAGATAATTCTAAAGAATCTTGATGAACTCTGGGAGTCCCGCAAGAAACCCTTCTTTGTCATTCCAGATAACTTTATTGATTAGTAATTTGTTTTATTTTAATAGGTTATTTTAAATTGTTGAAATATGCGTAATCTGGAGGCCTTTGCCTTTCATATAAGCCTCTTCTGATACCAAATCATCAACTAGAAGTCAAGTTATTATATGTTGTTCCTAAAACTGGGATAGGCGACAAGACTTTTGTCATATAGTGTAAAGTTACCCAATCTGGCGGACCAATCACCAATAATCCATCTCAATAAAACTAATAACTTATTAGTTACATATTTAACTCTATTTACCTAAAATAGAGTGTTTTATCTTCCTGACAATAACTTTTGTTGAAAACTTCTCCATGTATTTTAGACAGACTGTTGTGCATGAATTTAGTTTATCATAGCTTTGTAAATATTTCAACTAAATTTTGCTTGTTTTGACGCATTTGAAGTATGTAGTTAAGATATAACTAATTTAACCGCATGTTGGGCGCACTGGCCGTTTAAATGAGGCAAGTTAACATCTTTTCCAGTGGCCATTAGAAAAAAATTGTAAGCATTTAGCCCTGTATAAATCTAAAATTTGCCTCATAATGGTCCTAAAAAGTCTTCAGTTTGATTTGGTGAAACCTTTTGACTATAGGCTCTGATATACTCAGTTCTATTTCATACTTTGTTTAGCAGAGTTTGAGAAGAGAAATTTGAAATACCTAAAGATGCAAATAAGCCATGTCTTCTTGATAACAAAATGAAAACACAAATCAAGTACTACAATTCGCTTGTTAAGTCGTGACAAGTGGAATACTGTTTCCGGTTCAAAGCCGCAACTCATTTGAATTGAGGAATATTTGTTTATGACCACTTTTTAGTCCTATCATACATTAAAGTGAATTTTAAAGTGAATGGTGTACACAACAGTCCTTGAAAATTAAAAATGTAAAACAGGACATTCGTTAGGACCATTGTTATCGTTTGCATCCCTCAAAATGGTCCAAATATACAGTCAAGCCCAGAAAGTATTCATACCCTGTGGCAAATTCTCACAAAATTAAGTTTAAGTGGCCACATTTTATAATAACTACACACTATGAACCATTTATAAAGCATTAGTAAATAGTTACTCATTATCTGTTAAGCAATAACTCTACATTAATAAACGTTAGTAAGCTGTTTATAACTGCAGCTACAAATTCTCTATTCTTGACTTATAAACACATTTATAATGTGCCTTATAATTGTACTTTTATACTTTAATGATTTATTTTTCATTAATAAGTTAAGTATTGCATTATTTACAAACCAGTTATTTAAGCATAGTTTATTGTTTTTAAGATCATTCAGCATGAGTTAGTAAATGATTAATAAACTATTTCAAATTAACTTTTATAATTCTTATTATTCAGGCATTTACTAATAGTTTTGTGACCTAATCTAAAGTGAGGGCTATTTAGGCTTTATAAATTCCTTATAAATGACAGTTAGATCCTCATTTAAATTCTGAACAGGAAAAAAAAGTCGTCATAGTGGGAAAAAAAGCTTTTATTTACATTTGTACAAGTAAAAATTTGCTAGGGTGTGAATAATTTTGTTCTTGACTGTTGTTTTTTTAATAATGATGCTCTTACTCTCAATAATATGTTCAGAACAGATGAAGTCTACAGTCAGAAGCTTTCGATAAATGTACTGCATAGCAGCCATGACTGAATGCTTCAGTCAGTCAATACGAGTGCTATTCTGAGCTCTGTTAACACGGCTGTCAAGACCATCAGCGGCTCCATCACGTTCTGCTTATGCTTGTACTGCTTGCATGTGTCTAATTACGTCGCACCCACAGACACTTTGGCTGGCTGCTTTCTCTTCTCCTCAGCGGGAGCATCGCACCCGCTCGCTCCAGGGTTTGCTGGGGCCCGTCCGCAGGAAACATGTCTGCTGGAGAGAGGAAAAGGCAAACGACAGATCTGCGTGAGTGTTGCGTTTTCTGCTGGAGACGCTCTGTATGTGTGCCACTTCACCGGCAGAAACACCCCCCCCACCCAAAAAAAAAACAAGAGCTGAGAATATCCTCATCCCAGCGAATGTTTTCGTCTTTTGGTCTTATATGTTTTATTTTCTTGCGTGATGCAACATCCGTCATTATCTGAGTGTGCGCTCTTAGTTTACCGGGTTAGAGTTAGTTTATGGGTATGTTATTGGTATATTATACTGAGTTAGGGTAAAGTTATGAATGCAGCAAAGACCATATGCTAGCAAACCAATTAGTCAAAGTCTTCCCCATTAATCAAATCTCTGTATTAAACCATACAGAGATACATCTTCCATTTACTTAATACCATTATATTTCTTAACTGAATATTTGTCAGACTTGTTGGACGTTTTTATAAATAGGGGTGTTACACCAAAGGACAAAAATGTGGCAGTTTTCATAGTGGTGCCAAAAAAGTATAATTTTTTTAAATTAATTTCTGGGAAACAAAAATCTGTCATCATTTACTCGCCCTTCACTAAAACATGTTGAATTAAACACAAAAGAAGATATTTTGAATAATGCTGAAAACCTGTAACCACTGACTTCCATAGTTATTGTTTTTCCAACAATGGAAGCTAGTGGTTACAGGTTTTCAGCATTCTTCAAAATATCTTCTTTTGTGTTCAACAGAATACCGAATGTGATGAAGGTTTAGAACCACTTGACTGAAAGTCTTTTTTTTTTATTTGACTGAACTATCCCTTAAATGTCATGAACTTCATAGTGTGCTTAAGTCACATTTTTGAATGGGGTTCTTTAGCTAATTAACAGGGTATATGCAGGGACTTAAAAAGTTTTAAAATGTCTTACATTTCAAAAACCTTAAATCCACTGAAATGTTGTGTTGTAGATCTTAAATAATTTTAAACGGGTCCTAATTTTCCTATGTCCATGCAAAGCTGTACCCAATCAGGCCAACACCCATCCAATTGCTAACAATATATTTCAATAAACATTTTAGTATTTAAGGTTTATTTATTTACTCTGTTTACTTATTAGTGTGCTTTTATTATCTTCCTTACAATAACAGATTTTAACTGGGCCATAAAAAAAATCTTTTAGCCTAAAAAAAATGCATAAAAAAATAAAAAAAGCGTTTAGGCTTGTGTAAGTCATTGATCACTTGTCTAAATTGCATTCATTATGGTCTTAAAATGGTCTTAAAAAGTCTTAAATTTGACTTAAAGAAACCTGTAGAAACCCTGAAAAAAATTCCATGGAATTGGTTATTGAAAATGAGCATGTACAGTACACTGCGTCCCAAGTGGCATAATCACTCTAGTAGGAGAATTTTTGCTTTCAGAATTGAAAATAAATAAAGTAGCTCCACCTCTTCTGTTACTTGAGCAAAACTGTGGTCGTTGAGTGTGTAAAGTATATAACATTCCACACTTCTCTTTACATTTAGTCATTTAGCTGACACTTTTGTCCAAAGTGACTTACAATTGAGGCGATTCAATTAGAAGAGGCAATACACATAAGTGTTAGTTATACCAAATAACTTGTTTGTGCTCAGAGAATTTAGCGCTAGAATAAGTTTTTTTTTTTTTTAATGTTTTTAGAGAGAGAGAGAGAGGGAAAAAAGTGCTTCTACAGGTGGTCTTAGTTTTTTCATCGTGGTTGAGGGGCTCTCAGAAGAGATGGGTTTTTAGTTGTCATTTGAAGGATATCAGTGAATTCGTAGTCCGTGTGCTAATGGGAAGATCATTCCACCAGCAGGGAACATTGAATGAAAAGGTTTTGGAAAGTGACTTATAGCCTCTCTGCGATAGGTGCTCACTCCCCCACTAGAGGCTCCTGGAAGGGGTGTAGACCTTCAGGATCTTTTTATTAACGGTTGTTGTTGTGGTTGTTTTTTTTTTTCTTCTTCCTTTTGAGTTTTGTTTGTAGTTTAAATTTGTTTTTATTGGCAAAGGCCTTTAACATCTGGCAAAAGGGACTAACAATGAAAACTAGCCAGGTTTTTAAAGTGCACTTACAGTGGGATAAATATGTATTCAACAAGTCATCTTTTTTTCTCAGAAACCATATTTCTTCAGGTGCCGTTGAGTTGGAAATTTTTTTCTGGATCCAATTCATCATGGCAGGAATGAATTTTGGTATGGCGCCCCACCATGGAAAAATGAATATAGCAGAAACATGTCATTTATACTTCTGGATATTTATTGGGGTCGTTTACCTTGCTTATTGGTTAAATCTCCCCGTCAAGTACAGTAATTAAATGATAAAAATACAAAAAAAATACAATTCCTTGTACAATTTTAAAGTCATTATACAACCACAGGCATCAAAAACAAACAAATACAAACCCAACATTGCATATGCTGTGATGTGACCATTGCGAATGATCACATTGCAATATCGATGCTGAAACTATATATTGTGCAGCCCTACTTCATTTCTCCAGTGACGCAACATTCAGTGTCATCCGAACTCATGCGCTCTTGGTTTACAGAGTTATGAATGCAACGAAGACCATATGCCAGCGAACTACTTAATCAAATCGTTCCCCATTAACAGAATCCCTCCGTTTTTAAACCCATACACAGAGACATAATCCAATCCCTTCCATTTGCCCAATACCATCATTTTTCTTAACCGAATAACACAGACAGTAAGATGTCAATTGATACCCAGTGTCACCATTCGTAAAGCAATGACAGCTTTGTAATGCGGTTTACAGAGCAATGGGAGAATTGTTAACCCATGGCATCCTGGCTAACTGTTTGACCACGCTGTATTGATGTGTTTGTGTTGCTGTTTTGAAATCGATGCACCATGTTTGTTTGACTTTAACTCGCATCTGTCAGCTATGAAGAGAGGGCCAGATATCTGGAGACGATAGTCCAACATCACTTGGAGCCCACGACATTTGAGGACTACGCCGCTCGTGTCTTTTGTCCTGCGCCTTTCCACTATCTTCCGTCTGAAGCAGGTGGGCGATTGTTGAATTAATGAATGAAATGATCATGTGATCTGTCAATGTGCACTGCTCACCATTCACAATTACATCAAGTTACAGACTCTCTGACCCTAAAGGGTTTGTTCACACCAAAATCATCCTCATGTCTTTGCAAACTAATGAGAAATTAATTGATCTTCAGAACACTAATTGAGATACAGTTGAAGACAGAATTATTAGCACTCCTGAATTATTAGTATATATATATAGTGCTTAGCATAATTGAGTACACCTAGTTTAGAAAATGAATATTTGTATCCATTTCTTAGTAAATATAGGCAATATATTTTGGTGCATTTAAACAAAACAGATTTATTAATATAATATTTATTAACATATATTTTAGTCACCAAACATACTCAGAAATTTAAACACAATACAATTAAATTCAAGCAAAATATTACAAATTTTCAACCTACAAAATTTCAATTCAATTGTTCAATTATTTTGTTTCTCTTGATTTTTCTTCTTTTTTTATTTGTGTTTAATATGTTTCTATAACATGAATTTGGCTGTACCGTTATCGTAAGTTATTTTGTTAGATAAGCTCCAGATTACGCTTCAGTACTGACTAATCTATTGTACAAATATAATAATATATAATATAAATATAATATATTGTATAGCTTCTTATTAAAAATATGAATTTAAAATATAGATTTGTGAGGGTGTACTTATATATTGCTGAGCACTGTATGTTTATATATATATATATATATATATATATATATATATATATATATATATATATATATATATATACTGTTGCAAAGTTAAAAATATGGATGAAAAATTGCAAAAAATAAAGTGTATGAAATAATTTGAACACAACTAAACTTTGCATTTATGCATTTTACGTTTTGCTATTGACCAAAGTCAGACCACATCTATATTTCAGGTATTTCTGCATGAGTATGTCATACAGTAATGTACAGAATTATAATCTCTCTTTCATATCTTTCCCCCAGTTCCTGTTTAACGGAAAGAAGATTTTTTTTCAACACATTTTAAAGCATAATAGTTTTAATAACTCATTTCTGTTTTCAATTTAAACTTTTATCTTTGCCATGAAGACAGTACATAATATTTGACTAGATATTTTTCAAGATACTAGTATTCAGCTTAAAGTAGAATTTAAAGGCTTAATTAGGCAGGTTAGGGTAGACATAATCATTGTATAATGTTGGTTTGTTTTGTTGACAATCAAAAATTATATTGCTTAAGAGGGCTAATAATACTGAGCTTAAAATGCTTTTAAAAATTAAAAACTGCTTTTATTCTAGCCGAAATAAAACAAATAAGATTTTTTCCAGAAGAAAAATTATTATAGGAAATACTGTGAAAAATTCCTTGCTCTGTTAAACATCATTGGAAAAATTAATATCCGAATGAAAAGCGGTAGCGGTCGGCAACTCTGGTGTAATTTGAATCTAACTATTGTTAGTTGTCTAACAATATAGCGTTCACGAGTACCGACGTTATTTCTTATTGAGCACTAGTATAGTCAGTGCCCACGACTGTTACACATGATAAACACATGGACCTGTGCTTTCTGCACGTGCCTTTTATTCATACAGTCTGTACTCACTCATCTGCCTAACGGTCCTCAGAACGGGCTTTACCCTGCAGAACAAAGTGAATGTGAGATTTTGGAAATAAGATCTAAATTAAATTCAGCAGGAATGGTCGGGTAGAAAATTATTCTAAGGGAGCAGCTGGTGAACAAAGACTGAATATACAGCGGGAGTGATTGGGTGCGGAATAAAACCTTGCAGGAGCTAGATTATAACAACAGTCCCCACACAGACCTCTACTTTTGACTTCCACTGTATATCTCCTGAAAAATTAAGAAACTCATTTTAAAGCTGCCATTTGTTACATGGATTTGTCATTAACCTGGAATTAAGCGAAGAACCATATATGGAAACTTCATTGAAACTGATTACAATATAATTTGTTTTTAGGTCATAAAGGTTTAAATGTCTTGTAATAAACCCCATTAACACTCTAGAAATTTTTACAAAGATTATTTTAATCAGTTCCCTCTATAAAGTGTTATTAAGTACATTGAAGCTACTTTTAACTTGTCTTTAAAATGTTTAATAATGTAAAAAAATATAAGCTGAATCACTTTATCAAACCAAATTAATCAACTTATCTATTTCTCAGTTTTTACTGTATTTATAAGGTAATCATATGAGTAAAATGTAAATGTTTAAAAATGCCTGCTTGCTTTTCTTTCAAATTAAAAAGCCATCTTGAAACGATAGAAAACGTCAGATAATGACTGTCAGTGAGCTGCGTTTTGGTCTGAAGCTTAAGCAGGTTTTTCACATGCACAGTTAGTACAGATCTTTATTTTAGTAAAAGGATAAATTAAGAATGCCCTTGATAGGACAATATAAAGCCAGAGTTTTGGGTAAAGAGAGTTTAAATGGAGCCACAGAAATATCTCAGATTTATTTAAACGTATCATTTGTATTCTGGAGAAGAACAAAATATTTCAGTTGACATGAGGAGGATTTTTTTCTGTGGTGAACAACCTTTTGAAGTTGCATGTGTCAAAGCTCAATCTCACTCACTCACTATCAATCACCAATTTTTTTTAAGCATTTGGCAAACACTTCATCAACTTCAGTTGTATTCAATCTATACATACAGTACCATAATGAAGTTTGGGGTTTTTCAGTATTTGTTAAAGTGTCTAATGCTTACTAAGGCTGCATTTACTTGATGAAAAACACAGTTTAATAATAAATATTCGGTGATATAAATATTACTACAACTTAAAAACAAACTGGGGGTAATAATAATGGTAAAACCAGTTGTGTTGCTTAATAGTTCTATAGAAACAGATTCTTTAAAGGGCACCTATGATGATAATCATCTTTTGTAAGCTGTTAGGACAGAACTGTGTGTAGGTATAGTGTGTCCACAGTCATATTGGGGTGATATAAAGACAATAAGTCTCTTTTTTTCCCCAAAAATATTTGATGCTAAAATAGGATCCAAGTACCTCCTATTTTGAGGCCCACTGCAACGGAACGTCGGAGTGCGATTTCCCCGCATTGTTTCAGAAAGACTTAAATAGACCCCTCCCAAATGCATCAAATAAACTTCCCTTTTACTAGTGACTTTATTTGAGCTTCATCCGTGTTTGTCTCTATCACTGACTGCTGTTTATCTGGCGTAAAGCAGGAGAAGCTGACACATGTGGAAATAGTGGGCGGGGCGAATCAGTTTATTTGGATTTAAAGCCACAGGCTACAAAAACAGCTACATTGTCCTCAGACATCAAAAGGGATTCTACATTACATAATAAATAATCTGATGGGTAATTTGAGCTGAACATTTACAGAGACATTCTGGAGACACCAAGGTCCTATCTTGGAAAAGGGGTAAAATAGGTGCCCTTTAATGATTGGAAAGTTTTTTACATGTTTGTAATGTCTCTATTAATGCATCATTGCTGATTTGAAGTACTATTTTCTTCCAAAACAAAAATCTTACTCACCCCAAACTTTTGAATTGAAGCGCATTTCAAGATGTTCTTTAGTTTTCTGGGAATGAAACTAAAATGCTTGGAACTCCCAGTGTCATGCTCTACAACTGAACTACAGAAACACAAACCTTGACCCAAACAGAGTTCAGAAATATCGCAATGCATTTTTTTTAACAGTAAATAAACTATTGACCTTTTCACAGCAAATCACATACTGAGAATTTAAAAAAAAAGTTCATATCAAAGCTTTTCATTTAAGAAGACTTGCTGCATGCCTCTGCACACATTCATCACTTTTGGGGTTCAGTCATTGCAAAACAGCTCCTTTTGATCTTAAAAGCAGTCTTTTGTTTTGTGGAGATGTTTTTAGATCCAAAGCTGTTACTCTGGCTTTTGTGTTGGGCTCCTGGTACCTTTCTAAACACAAAATATTATTTTCTTTTCTGTATTTTCCTTTTTCGTTCTCATTTTATTTGTGTTGTTTTTATTTTGTTTATCTTATGTTTCCCCTTCAGATCATAATCTATCACTTGTGTATATCTAAAGGTAAGATTCCTGAGGATGCCGTACACTGAAGCTGCCTGATTGTCTTATGTTTTGTTTGGCTTGTAACAATGTTATGAGCTCCTTCTCTTTTTGCTTTATCTTGTTTGTTCGATTCCTTTCTAGACTTAAATACGTTCCCTTCTTTTTCCTTGTGATCTCTATTTGGTTCGGTGGGGGGAAGTGCATCATTCATTGCATGGCATGTTCACACCAGATCCCTAACATTGACCAATGAACATCTATACGCCTCAGTCATGTCTTTGTATGGCATGATCTCACAGCTTCACTTGATTCCTTGTTTCCTTATGTCATATTTCTGTCTGTCTGTCTGTTTGTGTAAATGTTGAATGGAAGAACCAGAATGGTACAGTAACTGCTCTCCTTTAGATAATAGAGCTTTTGTTCTGGATGTAATTGTACTCTTATAAGCATTTTAGTTTTTTTACTCCAAAAATGACAATTTATTTACTATTTTCACACGCTTGAGTGGCTAAAAACCTTCGAGTTTGTTTTTTTTCCTATTGAACACCATAGAAATTATATTGAGAAATGCTGAAACCCTTAACGTCCATAGTAGAATAAAAAAATAACTTTGGAAATCAGTGGTTACAGGTTTAGCCTTGTTTGTTTTCAACAAAGGAAATAAAGAAACTCAAGCAGGTTTTGAACAAATGAAGTTAGATTTTATTATGACAGAGTTTTTATTTTTGTGTGTACTAGCCCTTTAATGGGATGATATGTAGAAATCACAAAAATCCTTGTTAGCGATACTGGTGGTTGATTGGGGTACTGCAGCTTGTGTGTTACACTTGTGTAACATCTAATAGATGTATATAATTAAATAGAAGTCAATGTTATTTCTTTGTTTAGAAGTAAAATATAGGTCAGAATTAAATAATATTAATTGATCCCTTTGGAATTCTTAGTTTCTCTGGGTTTACAGTTTATAAGTTTGTGTTTGAGTAAAATACTTTGTGGTTGTTATGCAAAATACTTATGACATTTATCCTAAATTTAAAATTTTTGATGACTAAAATGTAGCAAAATTTTTAGGCGTAAAATTGTCATAAGAAAAAGTATTACATTTTTACATGTTTATACTCATTTTAGTCGACACAATACCAGTGTTTTACCTTAAGAAGTGGTAAATATGGAATGGTCCTGGAAAAATGTTATCAGACCTTTACAGACTAATAAAAAAATTGTTAACATTTTACTTAAATATGTACACAAATTGTGTGTATATATACAGTTTTGCTGAAAGTTTGCATACTCCCTGAATAATTTTTTAACGTGAATAATTGAAACAAAATAAGAAATGCGAGTTATTTTTTATTTAGTACTGTCCCAAGTAAGATATTTTACATAAAATATGTTTACATATAGTTCACTACACAACAATCTAGCTGAAATTATTAAAATAACTCCCTGCAAAAGTTTACATAACCTTAGTTTTCCTCTTTGTGAAGAGTTAGGGTGAAATCTTTTAAACAGGTTGAAGATGTCAGATTTTTTATTTTTATTTTGTTAAAATATCTTTTTTTCCTTCGGAAGTAACAGAAAATACTTGGATTCATCCCAGAACACAAATTAGGTGCAATAAGGTATATGCACAGCTAGTGTTTCTTCCCATACCGATAAACTTCTGGTGAACGGTTGATGTCACCATTTTCAATTTTAGAAGGTTTCTTCTACAGCATTGATGTTGTAATGTAATTAAAATATAATCAGTTAAATAGGTTCAGCATTCATTTAGTTGTTCAAGCATGAAACAAGATGAAAAATCGTTTACGTGCACGCAATCGTCAGGATTAGCTGGCGAGTGCAGAAACGCAATTGAAAATACAGGGTTAAAATAAATGTTCATATTTTAAATAAATGGCAAGGAAATTTTTATTTAATGCAGTGCTTCTTGTACATTCTGAGACCCACTTTATATCCTATATATATATATATATATATATATATATATATATATATATATATATATATATATACATACATACATACATACATACATACACATCAATCAGGCAATGTAGATCGTTGATTTAAAAAAAAGCAGACCTTATACGTGGCAATTTTGCTTGACCCAGGTTACTAAAAAATTAAAAGTCCTTCTGCATATACCCTATTTAGCTTGATCTTCAGATTACGATTCTTCAGATAAACTTTTAGTGTAAGTGTGTATATACTACCTTACAATAGTCTTGTCGTCGATCCCAGTTGTAAGAGCATCAAATAATATCTTGACTTTTCATTGATCATTTGGAAAAGTGGCAGAAGGTAGATTTTTCTGATGAATCATCTGTTGATTTTCATCCCACTCATCACAAATACTGCAGAACACTATTAGAATGCACATGGAGCCAAGATTCCCACAGAAATCTGTCAAGTTTGGCGAAGGAAAAATCATGGTTTAGGGTTACATTCAGTATGGGGTTGTGCGAGAGATCTGCAGTGTTAATGACAACAGCCTGAGGTATCAAGACATTTGGGCTGCCCATTACATTACAAACCACAGGAGAGGACAAATTCTGCAGCAGGATAGCACTGCACTTCAGGCTCCACATCAAAGTTCCTGAAAACAAAGAAGGTCAAGATGCTTTAGGATTGGCCAGCCCAGTCACCAGACATGAACAAAGAATTTTGATAACCTCTGGGAGTCCTGTGAGAACTCTTTCTTTGCCATTCCAGATTTATTAATAAGTTATTTGAGTAATCGCAGAGATGTATGGATGCAGTTGTCCAGGCTCATGGGAGTCATACACATTATTCATTATTTGTCCACTGCACCATGACTTTATATTCAGTACTGTACATTATTTCTGTTAAGTGAAAAGACTTTTTTCCAAGCAAAGTCTGACCATACTGTTCTAATTAAATAATTAAAAATCAAGGAATTATCATATTTTATTTTGGTGAAATAAGCGTAATCAAGAGGCCTTTTCTTTTCAAATAAGCCCCTTCTGATACCAAATAATTAACTAGAAGTCAAGTTATTATTTGTTGTTCCTAAAACTTGGATAGGCGACAAGACTTTTGTCAGGTAGTTTTGTATATATAAAAATTATTTAAACATCAACATTTATTGTGTGGATAAATAAATACTTCACAGCCCATGCATGAATCTGTATTAAAAAAATATTAATAGTGTTACATTATATTATCATATGCATAAACACATTTGGCCTACAGAAGTCACTCCAATTCAAATCACCCAACCCCCCTAAAAAAAAAGGTTGACATGAAGTTGCAGCATCTTTTTCAGTGAGACTGATGTCGTTTTCAGACTGTAGTTCATAGTGAGTGCAATCAGACATTGTGTGTGTGTGTGTGTGTGTGTGTGTGTGCGTGTGCGTGTGCGTGTGCGTGTGTGTGTGTGTGTGTGTCTGTGTGTGAGATCAGCTCTTGTATTTTCTGTGCACCTGCGACTGATTTCCCTCTCACTCTGCTTTATCTTTATCTCTTCTTCTCTTTTTCATATTTTTCCCTCTGCTTCCACTTACATCGGCATCACTTTGCATCTTTCTTGTCTCTCTTTCATCCTTTTTCCCTCAAATCCTGCCTGTCATCCTCTTTTCTGTCCGTCTGTCTCATCCAAGAGAGAAATGCTGTGATTTTTCTGCCCCTCCCTAAACCTCCACTAGAAAACATTGGGCTCACCAAGGTAAAGGGCAAAGGCTTGAAACGGAAGGTCTTTCACGCTAGCTGTGAATGGTATGCTGGAACTGAAAATGGCAAAGTACCGCCTTCTTTATGTTTGTGTGTGTGTGTTATTTTTCCTCTTTTGTAATGTAGTTTGTGTTGCGATATGATAACTTGCACCCCTGTTGGGCTCCTCCGAGGGCCGAGGTGTCAGATCTTAGCGTTGATTAGTCCCAGCTTCTCTCGTGACTGGCTCTGTAATGTTCACCCACAATGCACTGGGGCATTAACCTCTCACACTTGTTCACACTTACTTTGCTCACAGTTGGCTATTCTGGCTTTTATGTACAGTGCAATTAAAAAATGTGGTAACACTTTACAATAATGTCCCAGTTGCTAGCTTATATGAGCTGTCAGGGAAAGTGTTTATGAAATGTTATTCATGTAAAGTCCAGTTTATTTATTTGTTTTTTTATTTATTGTGCTTGGGTGAACATGAACTTATAATGAAAAGTTGTGTTTATTATTGATTAACATTAAAAAGGACTGAATGCACTCTTTATTTATTAACACTTATTTTGTTGTCAAATTAAATTGAATAAAATTACATTAAATGCAAATAAATCATATTGAGTTAAAGAAAAAATCTAATACTTTATATATATATATATATATATATATATATATATATATATATATATATATATATATATATATATATATATATTGATGAAATTATGGGCCATCATTCAGCTTAACAAACATTATGTAAAAATTAAACAATATAGAATAACCTGTACTGTTTAAATACAGTAATAATTAACTGTTTTATGAATAATAGTTATAACTGTTAAATATACAATAATAGTGATAGAATTTCGTAATAATAGCAAAATAAATATATGTATATGTTTGAGCAATATCATTTGAGTAGCAGTGCGAAATGGCTGTATATCAGTTTTGGTGGGAGGCGTGTGCTGACCGAGTGTGATATTGCGTTTATACAACAGTTCGACAGCAAAATCATGGATATAAAAAAAGAAAATCAAACACGGAGAGTCTCAAAACCCTTTGTACGAGGAACTACTTTCTTCCGCCATTCATTCATACCTGCAGCTGATGTCAGAACAGAAGAAACTGTTGCCAGTTCACAAGCGTCACTTTAGAGCTAGTGTTTGAATAATTCTCTAGCGTGAAATGATGACAAAACAGGTGATTTTGGCCCCATTTTAGGATTATAAGGCTGAATGTCATGAAATGCCATCAGTCTACAGTGATTTCCCAGTATTTTTCTATTTCAATTGAGAGATCACTATAATTAACCTTGAAAAAAACTAAACAAAGCAAACACTACCCAATTACTATGGTAAAGATACAGCACTACAATATACAAAACAGAGAGAGATAGACTTAGAATGTCACTTACCTGACTTATAATGATTTGTTCAGCTGTAGTTTGAAACTTGCATTGAGAAAACGCTGCGTTTTTCTTCCTCTAAGGACTTATTATGCGGTCTCTGTCGGCATCCTTTAGCGTTACTTCAACCGTCCCTTTCTTTGGTCTGCTCAGACAGGCTGATGGCAGCAGATTCTCTGAATCTCTCAAATTATAAATGTTTAAAATAGGCACTATCCTTATAAATAAACTGCATAGCTGCAAGACAACTAAGTTCTCTACTAAAAAAGCCTGAAAAGTTTATTATGTTGTCCAACAACTGCAGTATTTTTCTAATTGTAGAATTGCTTGTTGCTGTATGTGGGTGGAGTAATACACAAAGGTGAAGAAGCTGTACGAGTCAGCCGATCAGATTCAAGAACCAGACAGAATATTGTAATATTAAAAATACTTATTGTATATTATAGTTTTAGAATTAGTTTGGATACTTTAAATCCCCTTTTCATCTTTGGCCAACATACTACAGCAATAACAATAGATTATGTATAATTGCATGCAACTAACCCTAAATCTAACAAATATTAAAACAAATATTTTGGTTCTAGCTAGTTAATGCATAAATTTCAGCAATGGGACCTTATTTTAAAGTGCTGCCATTTGAACACAAGTCTCACAACAGTAATCACAGCAGTAATCGCTGGAGAGGTTTATCCCATTCCAGTGAGAGTGAAACTCACAACGAGTCTTAAGAAAAACTATAGGCATTTTTTCCTTCCATCAACCCAGTATTTTATATCCTAATCCACAAACCCAAGGAAAATGTAGCCCTGTATTTAGAACACGTGAGAAGATATGTCACTCTCAAAAATGTCAGCTTATTTCAACCCAAATTGAGTAAAATATGGACGAACCCAAACATCAGGTTATATTTGGTCCTATTAATTTATTTTAAAAATTATAGGAGTCGGTGACACGGTGGCTCTGTGGTTAGCGCTGTCGCCTCACAGCAAGAAGGTCGCTGGTTCGAGCCCTTGTTGGACCAGTTGGCATTTCTGTGTGGAGTTTACATGTTCTCCCTGTGTTGGCATGGCTTTCCTCTGGGTGCTGTGGTCTAAAGACATGCGCTACAGGTGAATTGAGTAAGCTAAATTGGCTGTAGTGTATGGCTGTAAATGAGTGTGTATGGATGTTTCCCAATTGTGGGTTGCAGCTGGAAGAGTATCTGCTGTATAAAACATATGCTGGATAAGTTGGTGGTTTATTCCACTGTGGTGACCCCTGATAAATAAAGAGACCAAACCGAAGAAAAATGAATGAATGAATAATAGGAGTTGGGTTAGTCCCCTATGGACCCTTTTCACAAGACTCGTGACACGTTCAGCAGCCATCAGCATCTTAAATTCTCGAAAGTTTTAATATTTAGATTTTTTTTTTAAATGTATGAGTATTTCTATATATTTATTTGTGTATTAAATGATCTTTGTATCAAATTTCAAAAAACGAATTGCGAGATGTTTCTAATGCAGCGTCTATAGGGAAAGAAGTTGTTCTAAAGTTGACGTTGTTCTCCCTTCCGGCTGCCGTCATCCGTCTCACACTATTTATTTAATTTTTCTGAAAGACTTGTTAACACCACCGTGGAGTTCTTTTATTATTTTAGCAAATTGGATTGTAAAAAATCATTTGTACTCTCCTATTCACTGCACTCTACGTTTTCACAAACTATGATTACGGAAAAACCCAGAAATGTGAAAAGGGTCCATTACAACTCGAATTTAATTAAAATAACCTGACATTTTTTATTTAGAACGGTGTTTATCATGTGTGAAAGATGTATAATTGTGACATTCTGATCTTTTCTCCACCTTTTCGTCCCGAACAGGCTCATGCCTCGAGAGTCAGCTGGCAGAAAGTCCAGCAATGCAGGTCGACGGGAGCGACTTAGCCTCGCCAATGTCACCTCGTGCTAGCAAGAGCCGGATGTCCATGAAGCTCCGCCGCTCCTCGGGCTCCGCCAACAAGACTTGACCAGAGTGAACGAAAGCACACACAACACATCTTCCAACAGGACACTCCATGCCAAACTCCGCCCACTGCACTGTCAGACAAGCCACACCCTCTCGCCTGAGGTAACCACGCCCCTAATGATGTCTGGCTCCTCCCATTCAGAGCCAGAAAGAACAACGGAAAGGTTTATTTTTGAACGCTTCACTTTTGCTTCCTCTTCAATGACTCTGAGTGATCGTAGATAACACACACACACACACACACACACACACACAAATCATGCCATCGAATCAAACTTGACCTTTTATATTTGTACAGGGGATTGACTATTTGACGGCACGTCTTTCCGCATATTTCTGTTTGTTTTCACTCCATGTTTTTATAACGTTGACGCTCACGTTTGTTTGTTTTTCTTTATTTGTCTTTACGCATCACAGTTCATCGTAATCTGTAAATTAAGTTCCTCTTCATTCAGACGTTACTGATTTTTTTTTAAGTGTTATCCGCCCCCTTTGCCGTTTGTAACGGTTATTTGTGTGTATATATCTATAAATATAAAAATATATACATATTTAATGTATGTGTATAGTGTATGAACAGTATCTGATCTGTGTACATATTTAACAGTATTTAAATCAACCAAAAAAACAAACAAACAAATCAAAAGGCCACTTAGAACGAGTCCAAAACAGCTCAACTGTCTTTTCGTTTTTTGTTTTGTGTCTATTTGTTTAGCTGCGCAGCTTTATCGGCTCACTTACGGCATCAATCATTTGGCGACAATGCTGAATCATCTCATCTTATTTGAGGTTTTTAAGGAAATTTGTGAACGAGTTAACAGAGAAACAGGGAAATGTTGCCAGATTGAGCCAAACTCCCCACTTCAAAATGCCATGTGGATGTTTTAGACACATTAATTCAGTCATCCGTTTATTTTCCTAACAAGGAAGCCATCTTTAACACTACTTTTGCTCTTCGCTCTATTTTTGACCATTTAAGGGATTTAAACAGATCTACGGATGCAAGTTGCCATGTTTAAGACAAAGTCAAGTTTGTATATTTTCTGTAAGAGGGTCAGATTTTTATTCATTTTCTTTTTATCATTTAGAAATGTATCCAAAAAAAAACAAAGCAAAGTGGAGTTGAAATCATGCAGCACCCTTCTGGATTGAAATTATAACATGTATATTAAAGGCCTGCACACAAGCAACTCAAGACCTGTGCGTAATTTCAAGAGGAAAAAAAAGGGTTCCTCGTGGGTAGATTTTGTGTTCTGTTACTACTGACCAAATGCTGCATGATTCCAGTACTAACTGCATGTGTTGATATAACAGCTGCACAACACACAAGCACACGCACAGATCCACTACACTGTCATACGCTTAGCAAGACGTTTGTCGAAGGAGAGTGGATGTGCAATGACACTTAAGAATAAAAGTATTCTTACAACATAGCCAATCCTGTGCATTTACTGCGTGCAATCTTTTATTTCTCATGTGTGCAAATAAGCTGCATGTCAAACTATAATCCAAGACGATAAGATTTATTGACCTCTGCAACAGCTGTAAATGACTACATATGAAAATATAAATATGACACTTATGGTTTATTACATATGTAGGCCTCTAATAGTTCTGATGGCATTTCCTGGCAGTTAATTGTTATGATAAATACATTTTCTTTGCAGTCAAACTAAATATAATGTCACCGTACAGTACTTTAATTCATGATCTAGAAATCAAAGCACCTTCTAAAGACAAAACAAGCTTTCCATGGGAGCTACGGTTTACAACGAGACACAAAATATATGAATTCACTTCTCCTGCATTGTAATCGTTCATGAAATATCCAGCGCTGAGCCTCAAGCCTGATGGATTTTGGTGGTTTTGTGAAATAAAGTACTTTTAAAGGGTAACACTTTATAACTTGCAATCATAACGTTATCAGTAATGAGTTTGAAGTGAATCAAATGGGGAAAGTGAATATGATATTTATATTTGAGATGGAAAGGTTTCCAAGCATGGAAGAGTTAGAAAATTGTTATTCTCAGTACTCATCATATTTAATTGCTATTAAAATGCATTTCAGATCTTTAAATGAGTTTAAAGAGTAAGTGGCGTGCACATTTGTTTATTGGTATTCCCAGCGCTGATGTTTCTATAGTGGACTAAAAATGTTGTTGTTATTATTATTATTCCTTTATAAATGACATTTTAAATGAATTTTAGGAGGGAATGTTTTAACATCTTGTTGTTATTCTTTATGGACAAGTGTGAGGTATGAAATTGCTATTCAAATGCCTTTTTAAACATCCACTGGAAAAAAAAAATCAAAAATGATTATTTGGATTTACTTTTAAGTTAAGGGGTTGTAAACAATTTATTTGGGCTTAATTTAAACAAACAACTTTAGTTGAACATTACTAAATTTAATTTGTTTAAATTCAACACATAAAATGTTTGCAACAATTTTGCAGACATTATTTTTTCAGTGTTGTCATTATTATTATTATTATTATTATTATTATTATTATTATTATTATTATTATTATCATTATTATTATTATTATTATTATTATTCACTACAAATTTATGATCACCGTTTATGGAACCTAGAAAATCTTTCTCTATGCAAGTTATAAAATATTACCCCACAAAAAAATGGAACAGTAAATGCACTCTTTCTGTTCTCAAAACAGAAAACTGAAGATTGGATAATATTCCCACATAAAGAAACACCGGCTGCAGCTTATTGAGTGACAACATGAGCGACACGCCGTTTGATAGTGAGTGTTTGCGCTTTGCGGGATCAGCATCCCGGTCTGACGGCCATCTGTAAGAGCATCACCTGCCGGCTCTCTGAGGGGTGAGTCTTGTTGATGTGTCGGGTCAAACCCGGGGAGCTAAAGAACGTGGACGGACAGTGTTTGCAGGAGAAAATCTGCTGATCTCCGGCTGCAGGGCTCAGGTCGGGTCTGAGCAGTAAGTCCTCTCTGACCGCGTGCCAGAGCCGGTGTTTATCGCGGATCTCCGCAGAGGGGAAGTGCGCTCCGCACAGGTGACACGGGAAGGTGATCTGCCCGCTCTCGATCTGACCGTACGAGGACGCTTTGATGGTCTCGTGCGCGGCCAGGTGTTTCCTTAGGTAGGCTTGTCTGCGGAACTTCTTGCTGCAGTAGTGGCAGTCGTACACTTCTTCGGGACCGGGTGAGGGCAGGTAGGGGGTGGCGGGGGATCTGTCCGGCTCTTCAGGACAGTGATCGAAAAGCCTGGACGCTTCCGCGGAGCCGATGTGCATCTCGAAGCATTTCTCCGGGGTGGAAAACCTTTGGTCCAGAGGAGGGTCCCTGTGCATCATGCTGCTGTCCGGTGCTGATCGGTGAAGTTGGGAGCTGTCCGGACTTAGCTGGTGCTGATTGTTCACTCTCATCTTGCTGGCGTTCTCCTTCCCCTCCACTGATGACGTTTTCTCCAGGTTTCGCGCCTCCAGCTGGGACTTTTTGGTGTCTGCGGTGCTCAGGGTGCGAGGTTTGTGCCATCTGCGGTGAGAAGCGAGGTTGGCGGGACAGCTGAAAACTTTGTCGCACTCCGGACAGCGGTATTCAACCCGGACGATCCTGGAGCACTTGTGTTGCGCTAGAGAAAACGGATCAGGATATTCTTCTTTGCAAAGTTGGCAGATGAACTCACCCAGGGGTTTCTTTCTTCCACCTTGAGGTGGTAGCTTTGTTTCGGGACTTTCTTTTTTTATTTTAAGTCCGAGGACTGGGGAGGTGGTGACTTCGTCTTCGAAATTCAGCTTTCGGATGACTTTAGGCTTTTTCGGTGGTTTGCTTTTACGCTCCGAGTCCATGAACGCGCGTTTTACGCACTGATGCAGCGCAGGGTAGGTTGGCACAGAAGAGGGCACCGGCGTACCAAACTTCATGTCAGAGTGGTTCATTAGCAGACGCTCGATTGAAGACACAGGAGTGACCAGAGGAAAAGACTCTGCCATGGCCGGTGAGCTCAGACATCTGTCTAAAAGCTCGGTGCTTATGGGTTTGATCGGGCTGTAAGAGTCGCAGGTGTTGCGCGGAGATGACGCGCTCTGCTCCGGATGGATGAAGTAGTTCTGCGCGTAATCTGCGCTTCCTCCAGCATCCTCCAGAAGACGTGTCTCCTCGTGTTTGGAACTGATCTCACTGGTCCACGACTCTCTAATAGGTTCCAGCACGCTTGCGTTTGGAGTTTGGGTGTTCAGATCCTCTTTACGCGGCTCCGTTTCTTCAGCTCGCACTTTGTAAGATGCCGACGAGCCACGTTTACTCCGTTTCACTAAAAATCCTCGTGGCATTTTCACGTCTGAGTCAGCCCAGATGAAACTACTGAGCAGTGGGTACTGTCGCCGCGGTGCGCCCGGCGCGCGCTTTATGCTTTGGGTCTCCTTCGGGTTCTGTATGAGGTCACTGTCAGAGCCGCGGTTTTGCCCAATCAGCGCTGGCGCTCAAACGAAAGGCGGGACGAGCATTAAAGAGCTGATCCAGTTACAGATTCATTTCTAATGGGCAGCAGGTTATTATCTTAAAGGGGTCTCGAGGGATCGATGGGCTCCTTAACCTTCCCATGTTTTACAATTTCCTGTTCAGTAATGTGACACCGGTGTGTGTACATGCACTGAACTATTTTTATTATTATCAAGTTATGCGCACAATCCAATTTTGTAGAATGTGGAAACATTTTTTTAAAAGATGAGAACTGATATTGTTTTAATGTAATAATTAAAATCTATTAATTTTATTTTTTTAATGTGCTGGTGTTTTAATAAGTAATAAGAAAAGAAAAAACACACGCATATATGCAAATTCTGCAGTAATAATTGATGATCAAATATTACATAAGTTTAATAATGAATGTATTCCTATGTTAAATTTTCAAAAGGTTCAATAAAATCGTACATAATATTTATTTTATTTTTTATATATATTTAGATACATGGGCCTTCTGAAGAGTAGGTTTTCTTTAGGCTATGTAATACTTTGTCTCAAATGACAGGGAAGCAAATAAGAAAATCTAATTGAAATCCGAAGCTAAAAATGTCATTTAAATATATTCAGTATGGGCTACTTATCTAAATCTCATTTTAAACAGGTTTCAATGTAGAAACAGCCATCTTTAACGCATTATTAACAGCTTGTTTAATCTCTCGGTATGTTTTCTAGAATGAAAGTACAGCACAGGAATAGCTGACACTGTAATGAAGTCGTGTGTGTCTGTGTGTGGTGAACGCTGGGAATGAGCTCGTCTGTTTGTCCCCATGTGCGGGTGTTTGGGGTCAGACGGACTCTGATAACCTGCTGCAGCTGCAGACGCTGATAACAGTGTGAAGGGGCGGAGGATGAAGCATCAAACCTGTTAGCATCCCATTATGTTCCTCTGGGATTCTCCTCCCAGGACACTCATATACAGCAAATGAGCGTGAGAAACCGCTGTGGAGACGCCTTTGTGGAGGTAATGATCGTTAACAGGGTGGTTAGAGCTCGGCCTCGTCTGTGTAAAGGCAGCACACAGCAATGAGGGGGAAATTAGAGTTTCTCGGGATTAACGTGCGACGTTTCAAACAAAAAAAAAATGTATGTAAAGATTTAAAAATAAAAAATGTCATTTATAGAATCAAAGAACATTTGGAACAGGTAAGGAATTAATATTTGGAATAACCCCGATTTTCGAACACACAAGTAGTTTTTGACAAGCATATTTATTTATTTATTTATTTAATAAAATTACTACAACTAATACATTTTTTCTTTAATATTAAGCTAATAAATCCAGAGGAACTGATAATTTTCCAAGTGGTCTCTTTCTTTTATTTTCCCCTTTTTTTCTCATATCATAAGTTTAAAGAGGAAAAATAATAACTTCTGAACAAGTAGCCCAAGTTTGCCATTTCACATTTTCAAAAAATATCTGAACTATGTAGACAGCAGCTCTGCACATAAAGTTTGGCCAGAGAAGAAATGGTCGTGCCAGGGGCGCACTCAAGGGCCGTGGCCTCCCCTGTGTAATCTCTGGCCATCCCAATATGATTTTGATGTTGATATAGCTAATTTAAATGCAATTATGTAAATTCATAATAATTTAATAAATAAATAGATTAAAGAATAAATAAACTTTAGCCACTAACAGCCGCTGACACGTTCAACCGCAGCAGATAAGCTGACTTTACCACAACAATTTTAAGTTCACGTTGCATTTAAAAAATAAGGGTAAAATTATTCTAACATCATTTGTTTAGAATTATTTGACGACGAGAGACAAAACACAACTTTGGGTTCACAAGGTTGTACAATTTTATTAAGAAATTCTTAATGTTGAAATAAAAAATTGTGTTTTATTATAATAGTGTGGCTCAAAACGGAATTACATTATTAGGGTCTGTATAGTGAGTGTGTGTACAATGCCTTTTGTTCAGTTTGTTCATTTGTCTGTTTTATTAAATAATGCATTTTAGACATGGGGAATACTGTACACTGTAAAATAAAAGTATGTGCAAAATACCTGACCTGAAAGGTGTTTTAAAACAAAATGTTGATTTTTGTCTCCTTTGCTTAAATACTTGATCAATTATCGCAATATTTCAAGAGTAATTCATTAAATTAATCAAAACTACATTGTTTAATTTACCAGAAACAAAACTATAACATTACAGTGAATTCATTGTGTTGTGTGTGTCACCCCAAGATTTGGTGTGGCCTCATCTGGCCACCAACCGGCCACCCCTAAGAAAATTTTCTGGGGGCGCCACTGGGCACCAAACTGGTTTCTTTCTAGGTTTTTTTCTTTCGCGTTGGTGAAGTTTGCAGTCGCCACTGGCTTGCTTGGTTTGGGACTTGTGGAGCTGCGCATCGATGGATTTGCTCCTCAGTGTTTGAACTTTCAGCAGTGACATTTAAACCACACTGAACTGAACTCTAAAAACTGAACCGACAGTTTCAAATTACTAAAACGTCTGTGTTAAGCTGCTTTGACACAATCTACATTGTAAAATATGGAGCTAATCTGAATTTGAATTGAGTTAATTTTAATTATTGACCATTTACCCCAGAGTGGATGAAAACATCCCTAATAGTATAAGGGTTACGTTTAGCCTATTTTTTTTAGAATAAAGGCATGCGTATAACCTTTCTTATACTAATGCTGCTTAAAAATAAATGTTGAGGCTGGACGCTATTACTGCTATTATAAAGACAAGACGAGGACATTTTGGGGAAATTATCCATTTAAAAAATTCTCCTTTTGTCCTTCGAGAAGGAAATAATGACATTCGGCACTGGAACAACATCAGGGTGAGTAGCCTTAATGATGCCGGTGTCCTGACATTTTATCCTACCCATCAGATTATGCTACCAACACTGCTTGAATGGTTCTGAGGTTGGGTTAGGGATTAGGTATAGGGCGATATTACAGCTTCATATCACACTATCCACAATAAAATTTACACTGGTAGCAAAATCTAATGGGTAGCATGGCGTCATCAAAATGTGCTACCTTTTGAATGGGAGGCAGGACAATCTGACAAGGTAGAAGAAATCGACAGAACACCAGGTTTTCATTTTTAGCTGAACTATCCTTTTATGATGATTTACTAGCTATATCTCCATTAGGTAGCCTACATGAATAGATGGACAGATATACAGATAGATGATTTTGGCTCTGCAGGAGGTGAAGAGCTCCAGCATCAGACTCTGGCAGATTTACGCAGACAGACTGTTGAATAACTCATGTTTAATCGGCTCTAATTAAGGCTCGTGTTGTATTTATCACTAACACAGTTTTGGTCCATTAGCCCAAATGATCACACGGACATCCATTAAACTGAATATGTCAATAACTAATGAAAAAAGAGTTCTGGATTTCATTATAATTCAATAATGATATGATTGTATAACTTTTAATCCATACTTTAATAATGCAGCGTAGGCATATAAATATATCAAACCATATAGCACATAGTTATTGATGATTGATGTCTGCATTATCTAATGTAAAGATGAGGCGTAAATACTCTGAGTCTGCTGTTTACTGCAGTCTGTCGCCTTCTGCTGGACGTTTACACCAACTGCGCTTTATACTTTTTTGTACTTTTTCTTTTGCACTTTTTCATGCTCTTTCTTTTGCTCTCATTTTCTTAAGCAATTTCTTTCTTTCTTGCACTTTTTTTGCACGTTGTCTTTTTTGCAATTTCTTTCTTTTTTGCATTATTTTCTTTCTTTTGCACTTTGTTTTCCTTTTTCTTTCTTTTGCAGATTTTGTATTTATTGTTTACCTTTTGCACTTACTTTTCTTTCTTTTGCACTTTCTTTAGCAATTTTGTTTTTTATGCACTTTCTTTTTTGCACTTTTTGTCTTTTTTCTTTCTTATGCAGTTTCTTTTCTTTTTTGCACTTTCTTTTCTTTATTTTGAACCTTTTTTCTTTTCTTTCTTTTGCACCTTTTTCTTTTCTTTCTTTTGCACTTTCTTTTCTTTATTTTGCACCTTTTTTCTTTTCTTTTTTGTACCTTTTTATTTTCTTTCTTTTGCACCCTTTTTCTTTTCTTTTTTCCACTTTCTTTTCTTTTTTGCACTTTTTATTTTTTGCACTTTCTTTTCTTTATTTTGCAATTTTTTTCTTTCTTTCTTTTGCACTTTCTTTTCTTTTTTTGCACTTTCTTTTCTTTTTTCTTTCTTTTGCTTTTTTTGCACTTTTTTCTTTTCTTTCTTTTGCACTTTCTTTCTGTCTTTCTTTTGATCTTATTTTCTTATGCAATTTCTTTCTTTCTTGCACTTTCCGTCTTATGCACTTTATTTTGCAATTTCTTTCTTTATTTAGAACTGTCCTTGGCACTTTTGTCGTTCCTTCTTTTGCACTTACATTTTTTGCACTTTCTTTCCTTTCCCCTTTCTTTTGTCTCATTTGAAATTGCGTTTTTGCACTTTCGTTTTTCTTTCCTTTGCCCTTTTTTCTGTCTTTCTTTCATAGCTCTATCTTGCATTTGTTTTCATTTTTCTCTTTCTTTATGTGTACTTCTTTCTTGTTCTTATTTTATCTCTATTACATTATTTAATTATTTAAAAAATTAACTTTAAATTTAAACTTTAAATTAACTTTTTTTTAATGGTTCCATCTTTATCTCGGTATACTCCTCTTTTCTTTCATTCTTTCTTTTGCACTTTCTATCTTTTTTATTTTTCTGTTTCTAAACAAAATGTTTACAAAACACCCACATAATACATTTACTTTGAATTGTATTACTGTTTTATACAAGAATGACACAGTACAACAGGCTTTAATACTAAATTTGACGTTTTGGCGTTATTGATTGACGTCTGTAATGTAATAAATGTAACGATGAGGTGTAGAAGTTCTGAGTCTGCGGTTTACTGCAGTCTGTCGCCATCTGCTGGAGGTTTACACTAACTCCGCTTAATACTTTTCTTTTGCTCTCTCTGTCTTTCTATTGCTCTCGCTTTCTTAAGCAATTCATTTATTTTCTGCACTTTCTTTTTTGTACTTTCTTTTTTCACAATAAATTTAACTAGAACTCAACATCGGAAGTTGAAACAAAGAATCTCTTTAAGTTAAGCGGACTCACTTTTTCAAGGCAGCTGGTGAAATTGAGTTTGTAAGTTTAACCAAGTGAAATGTTTTACAGTGAACAAATTAAGAAGTTTATGAAATTATTTTAATGGTTCCATCTTTCTCTCGTAGATCTTTTCTTTGGCACCTTATTTCTTTCGCTTCTTTTATTCTTTCTTTACCTTCTTTCTTTCTTTCTTACTTTCTTTCTTTCTTTCCCTTCTATCATTCTTTCTTTCATACTTATTTTTTGTTCTTTTTTTCTCTATTACTTTAACCTTATTTAATACATTTATTAACCTATTTTAATGGTTCCATCGTTCTCTAATTGCATCTCCTTTTTCTTTATTTCTTTCTTTTACACTCTCAATCTTTTCTTTCTTCCTTTCTTCTTTTTCTAAACAAAATGTTTAAAACACCCCGCATTATTGCTCATTGCCAACACTTATTTCTGAAAAGAGATCAACCAATCAATCTGACTAAAACAAATTAAAGAACATAATAATTCGTTCATTCATTGTCTTTTTAGCTTAAGTCTCTTTTTTTAATCTGGGGTCGCCACAGCGGAATTAACCACCAACTTATCCAGCATGTTTTACGCGGCGGATGCCCTTCCAGCTGCAACCCATCACTGGGAAACCCATACACACTCATTCACACACATATGTACACTATGGGCAATTTAGCTTACCCAATTCACCTGTACCGCCTGTCTTTGGACTGTGGGGCAAACGCAGGGAGAACATGCAAACTCCACACAGTCACAGATATGGCAACTGAACCAGCGACCTTCTTGCTGTGAGGCGACAGCACTACCTACTGCGCCACTGCGTCGCCGAACATAATAAAAATAATAATAACTGACTTTAAATACTGCAATACAAACTGCAGCAGTTTTCTTTAGATGAGTTAAATGCGTGATCAAGTGATGTCTGTCTACACGTATCGCAGTCACATATTTCTCCACTAGAGGGCGGTAGAGAGCGGAAACTTCTGCACTAATCTAGTGTGTAGAAAACACCTCACAGCTTTCATCTGCTGCTCAATTCAGAACATCTTCTACTGCTACTCATTTTAAAATATCTTGCGTTTTCGTGAAGAGTTCAGATAGAAAAACCTCTAAGTAAGTCTATTTTCTTTTCTTTTAAATGAGTGGTATTTTTTCAGAGAGGGGTCTGGCTGCAGACCTGGTGCAGTGCAATCTGGGCTGCATCCAATGCTTTTTAATGGGCTCACCTAACCCCACCCCTAACCCTACCCGTCACAGTGACGTCACTAGCTCCATTTGAGTGCATTGTGTCTGACATTGCATCGCTGAGTGATGCAGTCTCAGCTTGCACCATAAAGGCTGCATCTAGATACTATTGATTTTACTATTGATGGATGTTAAAGTTCAGAAATTTGACTTGAAATGAAAATAAGCAATTTCAGTAACTGAATAATAACATTTGTATTCCCAGATAAAAGAAAGAAAAGTCACATAAAATTTTGGAGGAATTTATTTGCATATATTGCTCTTCATTATCTATCTATCTATCTATCTATCTATCTATCTATCTATCTATCTATCTATCTATCTATCTATCTATCTATCTATCTATCTATCTATCTATCTATCTATCTGTCTATCTATCTGTCTATCTGTCTATCTGTCTGTCTGTCTGTCTGTCTGTCTCAAGATAATATGCATCAAGTCAAGCCCAAAATGATTCATACCTTTGCCAAATTTATGTTCAAATCCCTTTTAAATGTATTTTCTTGGCACACTTTTGGCACATTAGCACCAATTGAGCATCATGTCCACACCACAGTCTGCCTGATTGTTGTTGCTGAACATGTCCATCCCTTTATGAACACAGTGTACCAAT